GGGGGGGGGGGGGGGAACCCTCACAATTCATATTTTTACTTGTATTTATATTCAGTTCTTTTAGCTTTGCATTATAAATTAAGGAAGGATGAGAAAAGCACACATTTTCCTCCCTGTCACTGCTGGAGGCTGCAATGTGATTGAATGAACTGCAATTCTTTTCTTCTGCCTTATTAGCCACCCTTGGAAAAATGCTCTCACCTGCACAAGGAGAGAAGACCCTGCTGACAATAAGAAACAGTGTCTTCCATTTGAAGCAGCCAGACTATTGAATTTCAGTTGTTAAATAGCTGTCAAAGTTCTTCCTGTATCTTCCAGGTACCAAAATCACTTAGGTGAAGGCTCTATCCTTTGAATTTCACCAAATGTTATACCAAAGTCTGAAAAGGAACCCAGCCTTTCCCCTTGGCCTGGTTCTCTCCAGCTAAAAGCGATTTCTACTTTTAAACAGCATACAGTGAACCAGAACTCAGCCTACCAGCACCCCCATTGTGAGTGCACTGAATGCACTGTCTCTGGTTAACGAAATAACCAGAGAACAGAACAAATCTGTCCTTTCCAATTCTACAAAAAATAGCTCTGTCCTCCTGACCTGAGCCAGGAGGCAGAAATAAGCGACCAGTTGCATTCCCTCAAATTACATGTTTATACAGATATGATTAGATAGGATCAAGATAGAAGACGTCTAAAGCAGATACTTTAAAACTGCAAGATAATCTGAAGATCACTGAGAGAGCATGTTACTTCTAAAAAAAAAATCTAGAAATAGTACACCATATCTAATAACCAATACATTTGTCCAGCTACAGAATAGAAACTCTCCTGTTATGAAGAGTACGTGTAAACAAACATACAATTGGGATGCAGAATTTTCATTGAACACAATCACTTTCAAACTGAACATATTATCACTTATTTAGATAGTGCGCACTGATGGCTTGTGCAAAAAAAGCCAATGCTGCAAGACTGTTAAAAGCTTCTTTAGGTCTCCCCATATTATTAATACTCTTAAATTAATTTGGAACATAAACCTCATCTGAGGTATTTCTGAAAAGTGGATCCATTGATAAGTTCCAAAATGCTTCATGGGCCAAAAGAATATAGAATAAAGTTTGCTTAATCTGACACTTTAGATTAAAATACTAATAATATTTTCTTATGCTTTGGTTGTTATGCAAAATTCAGGAGCATCTTTTAAAGTAATTGCAGTCTCCACCTTCTCTGCAGCTTTGGATTTAGACGTTCAGGTGTATACTGATGCAAAAAAGTATTCTTGGGGACTGTCAGAGCACACATTAACATTTACTTTGGAGACATCACCCATCAATATATCGACCTCAGTATCTGACAAGAGGGAGGAAAGTAGTGACTTTTGGATGCTATTAAATCCTTGAAGTAATTCTCTAGGATTATGGACAGCTGATCAGCATTTAAAAATTCAATTGACATACTGGTCAGTTATACTTGTTCAAACATGAAAAAGAAATACTGAAATATGTCACTGCAAAAAGTTAACCAAAAAGAAAATAAAGTCATCTTTCTGAATAGTGTGTGATGAATAAATACAACTTAATAAAGGATGTCAACTTTTGTTTTCTTTTAAAAAAAGCATTTTGTGAGCTCTGGAATTCAGGATACAAATTCTGGAATTTGTATCCTGCAATCAGTTGAGTTTGGTGGGATCTTCAACCAAGCTTCTAGGGTTTGGTCATTTCCTAGATCTCTCCCTTAGTGATGAAGAAGAGACAAGTTACAGCACAACTCTCATCCCCATACTGGTCATCTGTTTTCACAAAATACATAGAAACTTATTTATCTTTGAAAATGAGATTTCTCAATCCTCTTCAGTTTAAAAAAAAAAAAAATCAAGGGGATACAGAAAGATATACAGTGTGACACAGTAAGCCTCACCTTCTTAAGAAATAAAGATTTTATAAAACCACATAAAACACTTACCTACTACACCAAAAGCAGAGACAGCTCGAGATAACCCAGAAGAGCCCTTCTGCCCAATCTTTGTTCTGTTTCCCAGGTCTAAACGGCCAAGAAGTTCCCTCACCTCTTGTTGTGTATACACATGCTTTAAAATAAAAAGTCACTTAAGTTACTGCTTTAGTAGTTAAATGTTACTTCATGCCAGAGAATAGAAGAATTTACTTAATGTACAATAAACCAAATGTCTGCTCTACATCCTCTGTCTCCTGTTTCAGTCCTACCAACAAGTTTTTTATGCACAAAACTCACTGTTCACTGCAATAGACGTATTCACGGTCACATGTGAATTCAAACATTTCTAAGTCTTAAGTGTTAAGATTTTAAACCATAAACTTAGAAAGGAATCAAGTCTTATTCTATTGTGTACATTAACACTCTTGTTGCTGTTTATTTTGCTTCAGATATGATATATCAGAAACATTAAAAATTTGGCTAGATAGTAATTAAATGCATTTTGCACTTAGAACAGCATAGCTGAACATAAGAAAACCATTGGGAGCATATACGTAACAAACTGAAAAACTTGGGAAAACTTCATTAAAGTGAACATGCTGTTTGGAGATCTTGTGGCCACTCCCATACTGTAACTAGTCATTATCACACTAATACTGTATGCATCTGACATACGAGGAAAGGTTGAGAGAGTTGGGATTGATCAGCCTGCAGGTGAGAAAGCTCAGAGGGGATCTTATCAATGTGTATAAATACCTGATAGAAGGGAGTAAAGAAGTCTGAGGCAGACTCTTCTCAGTGGTATCCAGCCAAAGGACAAAAGGCAATGGGCACAAATTGAAATACAGGAAATTCCATTTGAGCATAAGAAAAAGCTTTTTTACTGTGAGGATGGTTGAACACTGGAACAGGTTGTGGAGTCTCCATCCATATTCAAAACGCGACTGGGCATGGCCCTGAGCAACCTGATCTAGTTGACATTGCTCTGAGCATGAGGGTAGGACTAGAGAATCTCCAGAGATCCCCTCCAACCTCAACTGTTATATGACTCTATGATTCTGTAACATACCTTTGTTGAAACAGACTAAATGTGTAATATTTAAACTCAGCTCAATATAGACAGTATTATTATTTGGAATAACTGAAAAAAAACTAAATAGAGAGGCACTCACCTTATCATCAATTATAACCAAATCCTTTGGTTCAGTGCGATCTATTTTCAAAACACGGTATTTGGTTTCTGCAGGATTACTTCCAACTAGAAAATACCGCTACATTTAAAAAAAAAGTCAGAATATTATACAAGATAAAGCAACCAAAGCCCATTGTAACATAAGACATCAACAATGCCGTTTATATAGTTTCTAGACTAGATCCATTTCAACTATCATCAAATATGTAATATTCCATATGGACTGTTAATAAACTGGTTTAGACGTCAGTACCTTAGGTAGGTACATTTGTATACAATCAACCTTTGCAACTTAAAAGACCTCATTCTCTCCACCATACAAGGAGGAAAAAATTTAAAAATTGAAGAAAGGTGAAAACCTGTTTTGAACAGAAAAAATGCAGCTTACACCAGGCACTGTGCAACTACGCCCTGCCCCAGCCATTACTGTTTTCTCATTTGCTTTGTAAAATTTAGCAGAAGCTTATACACACGAGTTTGTAACTTTTTATGATCTAAAACTACTGTTGCTATATTGTAGTCCATTGCTATTTCTGCCAACTAGTCTTTCCTAGTCCATACTAGATAATTGTAAGTACTTCAGTACTGCAGTACTGCAAGTTTTCTTCATTTTTTATTTATATTTGCTATGATAGACTTCTCACCAATGTTCTCTCACAACACTCAAGTTTAATTTCACCAGCCATGCTGGTTAAAAATACTACTTTTTTAAAAAAGACTAGCTTTATTTCTCATTTAAAATATGAAAGAAAGACCACAGATAAACATATAATACGCCCATTTCTTATTTAAGGGAATCAAACTACAAATTAATTTTAACATTTAGAGGAATTAGCAGTAAGCACAGGTTGCAGGACTGACTTGCTATAGGCAGCTCTCATTTTACTAACTCATTTAACCAGTGTGGTGCTACCACACAGCAAGGTGCAACTCATTAATAATGCTCAGCCTAGTAGGAAAGCATGGCAAATCCATGTGGATCTATGCAGCCAGCTCTTAACTTTAAAAGTCACATGGATTTAAGATGTGGGAGAGGAAATCAATAACAACATTCACACAAACCTCAGAATTTCATAATTTATATCAATTAGAGGTTAAGAAACATCTTTAATGTCAAAATATTTAAGGTGAAAGAAGAACTTAGAGCCCTCTTCAGCTTCCTTGAAATCACAAAAACATCTAGATAGTAAGCTCTGAAAAAGAAACTAAAATACTTAACTTTAAGAGCTGTAAAAGGAAACACCACCAACTCCTGGCTCCACCTTGTACACTGACATTACAGTGCTTACTGAGTGGCAAGTTGTGCTGTTTACTCCTAAATGGTAGTAAAGAAGGTCCTTCAAAGTTATATGCCATCGCAGCACTCCCTCACTGAAGCCTCTGAGGCAGCACTTTGGCACAGGAAACTGTTTCCTACTGTTTTTTTAGAAGTGATGCATTGCTGTGCACAGCGCAGGCTCCCCAGCCTACCCCCCTCATAGTATCTGCCGCAGAAGATCCCTTAGTGCCAAGATCTGTGCTTCCCAGGAGGGAAATCATAACGACACGGAGTAGGTTGGAGCCTCCACTGCGTGGCACTGAATGGCACAAAGGTGGAGGATGGAGCTTTTCCACTGGTATCACCCACGAGCAAGAAACACCAAACCACCAAGATGGTCACTTGCTTAGACCATGCCATCATACCACCTTTTTCTTCATGCGGTAGAAAATGAATGGGCAGAGGGAAATACCATATTCATTTGTAATACACAGATGATAAGTTAGTTTGCATTTTAAGAGTGCTGCTTCTCTATTTGTAGAAAATTGTTAATTAATTAAAGCTAAACAATAATCCATAATACTGCAATACAGCTCAGTGATTTCCTTCCATTTCCAGATCATTAAATGAACGTAATTTCTTCGCAAAGTAACACCTATGTTACCGACAAATCATCCTGAATAAAAATAGAACAATACAACTTTAAGATGCTTGTCCAAACAGCAGTTGGGACCAAAGACCACATTTATAATTGGAAAATGGCACATGACACACAGGAAGAGAGAGAGATATATGGATACAGATTTGCAAATGCTAAGGAAGTTCAGTTGGATACTTCTCCATTTCCATTTTAACCGAGCAATAAAACATAAGGAAGCGCTATGAGGAATGCATCACTCGCAGCAGCTTGGCAGCTGCTATAGTGAGCTATGCACAGCTACAGTGCCAGCTTTAAGTGCTGCTGCTGCTTAGAACAGCAGCAGAGTTAGATTAGATGAGAAGTAATTGTATCTGCCGACTATGGTAGCAACCACCATAATGAGTTGTACTTAACAAGCTCTCTTTGAAGTCCTTTAAGGACTAATTTAGGGGGGTTGTTTTAAGTTAGAAAGCTAGGCTGTGTAATGCATTGAGGAAGGTCAGTTGAGAACAGCACCAAAACCCAGCATCAACAGACCTAAAGAAGCCACCTTCTTAGAAAGCCAGGCAATGGGAAATCGAGATTTAGCAAATGGGAATCTTACCCACTGCATGTTAGAAGATATTCTTGTGGAGGTAATAAAGAAGGAAACATCTGCAAAAACTTTTGAATTTGGATTAGTCCTCAAAACTACGAACCCAAAATTAGGCTTCCAAGAGAAGTTTTCAGGACCAGCTAACAATCAACAACCCCAGAATTACCCAAAAAACGGCATGATATGCCAGCTTATATTCAACCTTCAAGGTCTGAAATGAAAACAAAGATTATATGAAAATTAACAATGTAACAATGCAAAAATGAAACTAAAAAAGACATTTCAGCATTAGCTGCTTCTGCTACCTAATTTATACATCTAATGAATAAATAAGTCTGTCTTACTGGATGATACGGAGCACAAATAAAACCATATCGGAGATATGTACCACAATTAAATTTGCCATCACATGAATACTAGGAAAGAATAAAGAAAAATACCAAATCAACACAACACTGAGCATGTATCATCAAATAAATTAATTTCTGAGGTTGTAATATAATTGTAAAATTAATCAAAGCTAAAATGTGCTGTGCTGTTTACAAGAACATTTCTGTTCTTGATTAACAGAAATCATTACAAATTAAAAAATTAGAATCTACAGGTAAGCTCCAGAAACCTTTCTGGGAGTTTCTATCCTTATTCTCTTATTCCATTTATTACTAAGATGAACTGAATAAATTGAAGCATTTTCCAAATGTCTCAAACAATTCCACTCCACAGCACAGCCACTGCATTTAGATAAATGGACAACCTTGACCAACAAAGCACGTTCTCAACAGAACAGTACACAAGGAGAAACTGTGCAGACTTCCTCATACTACTCTGCCAAAGTCCTTTAACCATGAGATGAAACATGCTGTTTCCAGGTTTAGTCTGCCCTTGGCCTCACTGAAACTTGTTAACAAGTGCACTTTACCAACCACGACAGTGCACCATGCAAGTACTTGCCTATGAGATCTGAACTGAAGCTTAATTTATTGCACAACTATCACTAAGCGACCACAACATAGGAACAATCATTAGTCACTTCCACTTGGGACTGAGTTTTAACCAAAGCAATCTAATTGAAAGGCTTTACACCCTCTTTTATCAATCTCTTGATTCAGCCAAACCATTAAAAACAGCTTCTTCTAAAAGGAGTCTAAACAAAATTAAAAACTTCTTACTGCAAATTGTTGTTTATAATGGCAGGATAATAGTTCTGAAATCAAACATTCTGCCCACAATTTTTTTTTTCTTTAAGAAGATTGCTTCCTAGAAGTCCTGGTCTGAAACTACAGTTTGCTTCTTTGTGTAGACTAATTATCACTAAGAAATGTTAGTACTGTAAAGAATTTATTTCACTCATTAGTTAAAAAAGCAACACACAGCTTAATAAGCAGAAAAAAAAAGAAAGATGTGAAAATACACTAAAATTACTTGAAAAATATAGCAGTGCAGTCATACAGCCAACTTTTAAACCTGCAAATAGCATAAAGAAAACACTTAAGAACTTATACAAAATCCTTGCGAAAGATACCCGTTGAGCTCGTGGATATGTCTAAAACCACAAGCCCTAAGGAAGGGCGTCTGCAGGGCCGTTTCTCTCACATTTTTCCTCATTCCTTTCTCTCACAGCTGCCGGATAGCGTTTTTTACTCTCTCTCAAATACATGATCACAGAGGCTCCAACATCTTGGCCGAGGGGCTCAGCTGTGCCCCGCGGTGGGTCGGTTGGAGCCACTGGAACCGGCTGCGCCTGGCAAAGGGCAGCCCCGGCCTCTCCTCACAGAGGCTGCCCTGTAGCTCCCAGCACAGGGACACCTGCATCCTATACAGGAAGGTATTTCTGTGCTAGTCACGCTTCTGTCAGATTAAAGAAACACACTGGGTTGCCAGATGAGAAACCTTCATGTGAACGCTGACTTTGGATCTGCACATCATTACCTTTCTACTTTAATTTATGCTTAACTGGGTAGGTGCAATGGTAACTATCACCTGCCATCAGACCTCCACTCTCCTTCACAATGGGCGTAAAGCTATGCAAAAGAAAGCCTCTTCCTCGTATTTTTCTGGTAGTTTTATCATGTACTGAACTTGATTGTAAATCAGAAATCTTCAAAGCATAAACAAGATATTAAATAGGGTTAAAAAAGGTATAGGTTCAGCCTTTTTTCTCTACTACAACAAAGAAGGAGAGAAAAATAATTACACCTAGATGTAAGGTACAGCAAAAAATCTACTATGTTCTTTCTCTCTATAGATCCTACAGCAATTCAGGGAGTATCTACCTTTCACCTCTCATAGAAACTGGCAGAATGACATGAAGAAAGGAAGAGATGATAAGGGGTGAAAAGAGGTACCTGAAAATAGCAAAAATTCAGTTGGCATGCTGTCTGCTTCCCATAATCTGTTGAAATTCTTCAAAAGCAGCTCTTTCAAGATGAGAAATTTTAAGAACACACCCTGTCAAGCACCACTCTCAGGGCACATAGGAATGGCTGCCCACTCTGCATCCTACAGCCACAGCATTCAGTAATTCCCTTTTGTCCCAGGGCAACCAAAGCTTTTTTGTCCCAAACAGGACTTTGTTCTTGCTGCTCCACTGAGGGGTTCCTCACGATTCCCCCTTCTAATTTTCAGCTAAATCTATTAATCATCAGTCTATACATTTTCCTTTAGCCAAATACTTCTCCCCTCTTTAGTATATATTCTGCTGGAATGCTTTCAGAAACATAAGTAACTGGATCCCTTTTCAGCACTCACTTCAACAAACCAAAGAAATCTTGCTGTCCCTTTGCTCCTCCCAAGACGTCTCTAGCATCTATGTTACATCACTGGACCTTCACTGGACTTGTTCCTGGTTGACTTCATATTTCTTAAATGAATACGGCCAGAAAGTGTACACAATATACCATACAAGGTCTCATTATAGAGATACATTAGTATTTCTCATTAATGACTGTACCGCATCTGCCTTTTTCAGAGTTGTACTTCAGCAGCAGCTCAACCTTCCACCCCTTCTTCAGATAAAACACCCAGATCCTCCTCCTCTACTGTTTCTGAACTGATAAACTCTCAACAAACTTTTATTAGTGTGTAATCTATCCTAAGGTACATGCAGTTTCACAGTATACCATTCTATTTCAAATTATTTCTTTTATCTGCTCCTGAGGGTCATCATCATTTCTTGCTATCTTGTGCTCTGATTATCCTAATTATCCTAATTATAGAGTTTCAAAACTCTAATCAGAGCTGAACCATGTTTTGGGCTAATAACATTACTGAAAATGCTGAAATATATTGGTCCTAAAACCATTACTTGAAAAAAATCAACCCTATGAGATGATTCCTTATTCACTTCACACTAACTTCTCTACTAACCTCCCTTCTTCCATGAGCGAAGCCAGAGATTTTCCTTGTGGCACTGCACCTCCATAGAGTATTTGGTTTAAATACATAAGGCTATCTAACTTTTAGATGAAGACGTGCAAAACAACCAGGTTAATTTGATAGCATCTTTGTAAGTCTAGACTGCATTTTATGTCATTTACCTCAGTTTTCAATTACTTTCCTACAGAAAATGACGTACAGGACTTCAGAATGGATTAAACATTCCATTTGTCATGTTCCAGTCACAGCACCACCCTTGACTTGAACAACTTGAAAATATTCAAGTGGAATGACTATTTAGTATGCCTACATCTTCAAGTTTCCAGAATGGAGATAACATTACCCTTCAACTACAGCATGTTGCATATATGGAATTTTATTTCTACCCCAACACTGATTTTTCAATTTTTCATAACCTCAGTCTTGTTACTCATTTTATCTTTACTCCTTGTTCAGTACATTAGTACTCATGAACTACATTCTTACTTTAAAAAAAGAAAAATACTCATTTAGTTTTATGCCCATAACAAACTTCATTTTGAAAATAAAAAATACTGATAGAAAATACCTATTTTTCTTCATCCTTCCATTACATTTAAATACATCAATTTGTGATCATTTATCCACAAACTCCTCATCACCATTGCATCCAGAAAAGTGATTCACAACAAAACCAAATCTACAAGAGTATCTCTCTCCTGTTGATCTAGCGACTACATGATGACACCCAGGACAACACAGGACAAAAGAAATAAAACGTGTCGCCTAAACAACTTAGGCAGACATTTGAAGGCACATCTTTCACATGCA